TTATAGTGGTGACTAATCTCCTCGCTACGTTGGAGACACCTCAAAGGGTGGGATAGCTGACCCCAAGATTTAACACGGCGCATACACAAGGCAAGATTCGAATCTCTGACCTTGATTAAGCGTAGCATTATCAAGATTTCTTTATATAAAATTTATGTAAATTGGGAATTATATAAACAACATCAACACCAACACCACAATAACATTGTTGGTTATAAAAAGTTGTGGATTTTGAACCGGCTTCCCTTGTGGTTCTCAATTTACTTTATATATGACATTTTAGATATTATGTCAAGTTGTATTTTGATTTTAAACAGGAAAATAATCAAATTTCCTCTACACTATCACAAACAAATGGGAAAGTTCCAAGCTCAACTAGTGCTTCTGCTGCTGCTGCTACTACTGGTGGTGGTGCTAGTGATCCTCAGATACAAAAGAGGGAGAGCAATTTGGAAATAAACTTAGAATCTGAGAGAAAAAGACGAAGGCTGATGGAATTTGAAGAACGAAGGCAAAGATTAATGGAGTTAGATTTGCAGGTTGAGAGGGAAAGGCGAAGATTATTAGAACTGAGATTGGAAGCTGAGCAGGAAAGACGAAAGATCATGGAAGATGCCTTGCTTTTGGTCTTTCATGAAATGCTTGGAAGTGTCCCTCAACAGTTTGCTAGCATGCTTTCTCAAACTCAATTGGTATTTTGTTCTCCAATATTTTCAATTTGTGCTATTCAAGTTTCACATATAACTTTAATTCCTATGTAATTTCAGGCACCAAATGAAGAAAGTGAAGATCAGGACTTTCGTTATGTATCTATAGAATTCTCATGAATCAGTGATGACCAAATATGTTACCAAAAGTGAGGTTGCTCTTTCTCAAGTTTATTATTTCTTTTCATGTAATGTATTTTCAACGAGGAAACTAAACTAAGTTGATAACTCGTTTAGAAATATTGCACGTTATTGTGAAAAAGGTAAAAAACAAACAAACAAACAAACGTTGGGAGAGAGTGAGACAAACCTGGAAATTCACTAAAAGAAGTCTTAAACAGGAACTTACACAAGGGACAAATACATAAAGATAGGAAGATCCACCTAAATACTGAAATTTTGGAAGGGCCATGAAATGCTTCCCTGGACATGTGACACAGGTGTCACACAACACAAAGTTTTATTACACAGGTGAGATGTAACGTAACAAGAAGAAAGGGAGAGAGGCTAAATTAACTAAAATGGGGTTGAGTGGGGCAAGAGCATCCTGGCCTCTGTAACATAGCAAGTGCTGCATCACAACCTATTCTCACACACTCCTCAATGTCTTTTTCTTGAATCAGCTGTGACAAAAATCCACCAATAAATGCGTCCGCTGCCATCAAACACAATACCACATTACGATGAATAGTTCATCAAACACATGGAATTCATTAAATAGAGAAAACCATGTTATTTGTTAATTTTCTAACTTATCTCAGTTCCTTATACCTATGGTACTGTATGTTAGTTTTGTCTTATTTTAAACTAGACAAGAAGCGACAAAATGGCTTACTTACCTACTCCATTGGTATCCACAATCTTGTGTTTTGGCAGTGGGACAAATGGGAATAATTTAATCTTTCCATCCTCAGCCACTAAAACAGGAAGAACTGGACCTTGAATGAAAACAACTATTCTCTTCCGTGCTCCATTGGCCTTAGGTAACTGGCTAATCTTTATGGCAATCTCCTCAACATCATCCGTCTATTTCATTGTCAAATTCAATGTTAATTATCTTCTACAAATTCATTTTATTCAACCATAGAAGCTTATAAAACATTACCTTCCATCCATGCACCTTTGAAAAGGTTCTAGCCTCTACCTCATTGCCAAATACGTAGTCAATATACCTAGACAGAACAAGACAACAGGTCAACATTAATTTAGGTCACATGATGCACAGTAAGAAAAGGAACACTTACGGTATAATTTGATCCTGCTCATCCTTATAGAACTCACAGATGAATGGAGCAGACAGGTCCATCGTGAAGATCTGCAGGCAAATATTAGCAATGGTATAATTAAACAAAGTGTTAGATAGAAGAGTATTTATTAGATGTTAGTAACTAAGTAACATCGAAACCTCTATCAACGGATCATTAGTTTCCACACCATATCTTAGTCCAAAGCCTTAAGATAACGAAGAGATTTTATTAGGTTGAAAGGAAGATCTTTTATTTAATTTGGTTTAAAAGAAAGGAAGAGAAGAAGGAAAGACCACTTATTTGATTTGTAAAGAATGTAATTAGGAAAGAGGAGAGAAAGTATGAAAAATATAATATTATACTTTTACACATTCATAGATTGGTGAAATGTAAAATAAGATCTCACTTTAATTTATCTAGCACATTTCAAAAAATGACAAAAATTAAGTAAAATTTCTTAGGTGTGATTGATGTTTAGAGTTGAAGTTTTCCTATGATATTGTGAACTTATATTTAATATAGGTCTCATTAATATACATATAATTTATGTATATTGTCAAAGTAAAACTCCAATTGAAGAACAATTTTAACCACACATAATAATTCATTTACCTTTTTTTTTTCTTCAAAATATCTCTCCAATATTGAAATAAGAGATTAAAATAACATGGTCAGTAATTGTCACCTTATTATTTGCAGCTGCATTCTTGGCAAGAACTTTAATAGACTCGAGGGACACGGTAAGGAAAAATCCAGCAACATAGAAGTACTTGGCCTTTTCCACTGCCCATATTGGAGTTATATTAGAATGAGTATGTGAGAAAAAGAAGATAAAGAAAGATAAGTTAACAAACAAAAAATGGGGTAACAAGAATGAATAGGATATGATATCAAACCTCGTGCCCAGATTTCTGGATGCTTCAAGTGCTCAGCTTTAAAACAATTTGCAGCTGATAAATTAGCAATAAGGGACCTGCACCAATATGTTATCACATCTATTTCCAGACGATTCCTCTCAATTGTTAGATTGATATATACTAATATAAAGTTAATTAAAGGGGCCATAATCTTTTTTTTTTTTAATCATGCATCTAAACAAAAAGTCCATAGTTGATTGTCCCAAATGTTTTTTGAAAATCTTACAAATTATCCTCCTTGTGAGCAAGGCATGCATACAAGGTCATTCTGGATGGGGAAATACAGAAACTTCTAACAAGGGCCAAGTAAAGACTAAAGAGATTCGCAACCTCATGTTCATTCACTCATTTGCAGGACACAACTGTGATAAATTCAATATCCTCAATTATCCCATGCCCATGCATTATACAATATACACGACGTATTTAGCTTCAAATTAGATGACAACCAAGATTCTGCGAAAGATAAGTTCATAAGTTGATTTTATCTCATATAAAGAAGCTCAAATTATTTTACTTACTTTCTTAAATTCTTATAGAAAAGTTTATTTAAATATAACTTTAGATTTAATTTATTATATTATAACGTGAGCAGTGCAAACAACATATTTTTTCTAACACATTTTTTTATTAATAAGGTGTACTTAGACAACTAATCAGAAATTATAACTTGTATAATATTTTAAATAGTTATTATAAAGTCAACACACTTATCATCTAATGATTAGTTGTAATTAGATGAGTAAAATTATGTATTATTGTTAAACTCTTTTTATTATTGACTAAAAAATTATTAAAAACTACACACGACCAAGACTCTAATAAAAAATAAAAAACATCAGTATAAAAAAAATAGATTATAGAAATAACCTTTCACCGCCAAAATAAATCACAGCGCATGTTCCAGTTGGTGTCGTTTTATCCTCATAATAATAAGCCTATTATAAATGCAAAGATTAAAATAATTGATCCTACAACTTTAAAGAATATTAGAATGAAAGTTTAGCTGGAACAGAGATATACTCACGTCAATACCAGAACGTTTTGCACTCTTCTTCATCTCTTCACCAAACTTGTCATTTCCAATACAACCGATATAACTAGTTGCTCCAGGATATGGAAGCAGCCACTAGAACAAAATTATATAGAAGGAAAGTGACATCTAAAAAAAAAAAAAGAATTTTAACATTCAGAATCAAAAGCTTATCAATAAACCTGGGCAACCCTGATAGAATTTTGAGTGGCTCCTGTTGATAACAGAATATTGTAAGTCAAGATGAATATTTTTGCATCACATAATCATAGAAACTGTACATAATAACCACAGAAATTAAGTGGTGTAATGAAACTTAAACAATAACGATACCTCCAGGAATGTATTCCACGTTGTAGTTCTTGGCCAACTCCTCATACCTTGTATCCATATTTCCCAGTAATTAATTTAGTTGATAGATCATTATGCAATAGTTAATTTTTTAGATGATTATGGAAAAAAAAATTAAAAATAAAAAGCCGCCCCCTGAATTCATTCTTGATTATTGGTTAAAATTTATTGAATTAAAAAAAAGAGACTAAATTAATTGAGATAAAGACTCATCAAAATTTATAATTTATAATTAATAAATTTTAGTCAATAATAAAAGTATTTTTAAAAAATTCTATTAAGCAAAGTATGTTCTCTCAACCAACATTTAAAATATATATTTTTTAATTTAAAGGTGAAGAATGAATTTTCAATTTTTATATACATAATTTTCCCATTATTTTAATTGTATTAATTATACCAATTGATATATAAATATATATGTGGGGGGTAAACTAATTAAATAGACCAAACAAAAATGTGTCTAATTCCACTCCATACTCACAAATAAACAAATCTAGAACTAATAAGAGAGAAGAAAAATATAAAACACACATGGCCAACTGCTCGACTTGGCAAAGCTTGATATTGTTCAACTTGATGTCATATCTGTCACAGAAATATTCAAGCGCAATTATTGAAGGTAAAATTATCAATACCAACGAGTTAAAATAAATGCATGCAAAAACTAAGGAAAAAATAACTTTGCAAAACAAATTTTGTTTTAATGTGACTTTTATTTATATTAGAAAAATGTGACTTTTATATCACCGACAAATTTGAAAGTACCTTGAAAGTACTAAAGTGGCCCCTTCTATGTCAAAGTAAGCCTTATTATGTCAGGAGACTAAGTTAAATAACGGAAATTTTAGTACTTATCGTATCCATTTGGATTGTTACCTTACGTATTTATTTGTCACTTGTCACCATTCGATTGAATCTAGCTCATGCAACACCAATTTTTATGTTCTGTCCGTATTTGCTAAGAGAATCATGAGACCCCTTAATTAAACAAGGTTGTCAAGACTTAATTAATGTTATGTTCTGCCTACCTTAATTACGTTTTTTAATTTTCATATAATTATATATTTTTTATGTATAAAATTTAAATTTAGTTAAGAGATTCAAACTCAGTAACATTCCAGAACGATATATCGGTGAAAAGGATTTTTAAAAATGTTTTCTTGAACGCGCTTAAGTAACATAGTGAGAACTTATTCTAATTCATTTTAAAGTTCTTTTTAGATGGGATTAATTATTTTTTCAAACTTCACATCCAATTCTTAAACAAAATTTTGATCATCTTAGTTCTTAATTTTTTGTTCATTAATATTTGTTGTCGCTCTATTAAGTACTGTTGTTGATAATTATGTTGTCTCATCAAGTAGTCTAACGGAACAAACATTTGCTTCTTTTTTGAAAATTAAAATTTTAGTTCTTTACTTTTTAGGAAACTTACCTTTAGGATGTGTTTGAAAAATTGTAAAATTAAATTGTCTTTGATAATCAATTACTGTTATAATTGATTATACTGAAATAAAATTTTGTTTAAATAAATTTGTTGAAAAATGATTTTAAAATGTTTGGCTATAATAAAATAAGACAATTTCTATGTAATAAAACAGTTTAAATAAAACAAAAACTATTGAAAAAAATCACAAACTTCAAATTTTCAATTTCATAAAATCAGCTTATTTTTCAAGATTTTTTTTTTACAAACTTAAATTGTTGTTCCAAACACTTTTTTTTTCTTTGTAAACAACTTTTTCTATTTAAAAAAAAAACAGTTGAAATGGGAGATTATAATCTCTTTCAAACATGGTTTAGGCTTCAATTTTTTTATTATCTTATACATTTTTTTTATGAAATTTACTTTAATATTATAGGCCTAAAAATGTAAATTTTAGGAATTTTTTTGTTGCGCTTATCTAAAGTAGTAAAAAAAATTGCTTTCTTTCATTATAAAGTGTATTTTTAACATAGGGGTGCATAAAAAATATAAACTAGATATAATAAAATTGTTTTTTTTTTTTTTACCAACATTAGTTGAGGCAGAAATAGAAAAAGAAAGAAAAGAAATCTTAAATATAGGGACTCAGTAACTCCTCCTAGAGAACTGAATAGTTACTGAAACACATAGGTAGACGAGTTTACCAAGGTTGAAGAGAAGTAACTAAACTCAAACGGTGACATTCTTAATATGTTTCTATTTCGTTAATCTAAACCACGTATTGTGTTCTTTTTTATATAGAAGTTTAATTAGTCATGATTTATAATTTTGAGAAGACGCATATAAGACTTACTTTTTTAAGAACTTCTCATCTACAGTAGCTGACATGTCAAGAAGTGGGTTTCCCATGCCCAAAAGAATGCCATGGTACTCCATTCTTGAAGGACTCTAAATTTCGGTAGAGAAAAGAAAGAGAGAGGAATGAGTGAAATGAAGGTTTAGAGCATGTGGCAAATAATGCAATGTGAATGAATACATATATAATAGGTGCCTACTCGCCCTCACCTTCGCTTATTACCACAAAAACTCAAGGGAGAGGAGACCCCAAATTTGGGATGTATATATATAGGTGAAGGAATAAGAAAATGAAAAGGATAGAATAAAAAATGAATAGAAGAAAACGGGAAGATATCTATAGATATTCTTTTTAGTAATTACTTTTCTCTTTATATTTTATTGATCATTATATCTTTCTATTTTTAAAAAATAGGAGAAATAACTTTTTTAAATTAAATTCAATAACTTGAAATTAATGGACTACTCATAATTGATATTAGACCAACATATTTTTATTAATTTTTTTATTTTATCTTTAAAAGAGGTGCGAATTTTATTGACTCACTAATAACTAATAAGAGAATTGTTAATGGCGCACTGCCGCACCCGCTAAAAAATAATGCACTCTAAAAAGACAAAAGAAAAGAAAGAAATGAAAGAAAATCATTAAATTAAGATAGAGGGTTATTAAATAGGATATAAGATGTATTAAATTTTATGAATTTCAACTAATTAACTAATAATAAATTAGAATTAACAGGGTTGTTATTTTCAAACTTATTAAGTAAAATTTTGAATTTTAATTTTGTAAATAAAAAAATTCAAAAGAAAGTTCTCATTGCGAAATATTAAGTCAATTTTCGTTTAGAGAAACTAATTATCAAAAAAATTAATAAATAATAATAATAATAGTAGTAGTAGTTATAATATTAATATGTAATAAATTCAAATTTAAAAAGTGATGACAAAGAAAAAGAAGTGGACAATTTTTTTTTATATATAGAGAGAAAAATGAGGGATTTGTTTAGAGCAACTCCAATGGGACTTGCTTGTTCCATGAAGCAACTCAAGTCCTGGTTTTTTTCCATTAGAGGACTATGACGTGGCAACATGAGTTGCTTGAAGAAGAGAGAGAGTTGTTTCCTCAAGCAACCGTTCCTTACCAGATTTCAAGCAGATTTTATTGAACATATTTGAGAACGTTTCAGAAATAATAATGATGAAAATTAATTTTGTATGATGTCTATGTATTTACTTGCTTTATTTTATTTTTAATATCTACTTATTGTGTATTTTTCTCGTAATTTATTTTCTTTCATTGTAGTGCAATTATCCTTTTTAATAAAAATTTAAAATTGGTTCATAAATGATTAGAAAAAAAAATTTAAAAGTTAAATTTCTTAAAATTTCTTACCATTAGAATAAATTTGTGTTTGAGTTGCTTAATACTGACATGGCACACTAAGACTCACTTTTTTCATTTTTTAATGCATGAAGCAACTCAAATGAGTTGCTACCATTGGAGATGCCCTTACTCTATAGGAGGATATTTTACATCAAATTTTAACGATCCAACCGTTAAATTTAAAAGTTTTTAATGCATAAATCAAGTCTGCATTTACATTTAAATTACATTCAAATTATTAAATTTATAATTCAACGTTTGGATTTATAAAATTCACAATGAATATAAAGTTATTAAATGGTGTAATACTAAGTAACATTGAACCCTCCTGTATGTGTATATCAAATTTTGTTAAAATTGAACAGCAACTTGAAGGTAATCAAAGTATTCATATTTATTATATTTTGAAATGAATATATTACGTCAATTTGTTTTATAAAACTGAAGTATCAAATCATCTTGAATTAATATAAAATTTTGTATATGTGAATAAAGTGATATGAACTTTCAATCTAACGGTTGATTTACAAAATTTACATCTAATATAAAGTTATTGAGGAGTGTAATACTTAGTAAAAGTTACACCGGTGTAATTATAACCCCCTCATATATATATATATATATTGCCAGTGTAAAATTTTTTTACACTGACAACTAATTATATCTTTTAATTGTATCATGTCACTGTAAACACATTTACTTTTAACAGTGACATGACACAATTAAAAGATATAATTGGTTGCCAGTGAAAAAAATTTACACTGACAGTGTATAGGTAATTAACTCTCTGTCTATATATATATATATATATGGGAAATGCTAGTATACTCCCACTTATTTTTTAGTTGGAGTATGTTAGCAACATACACTAAAATTTTAAGACAAAAAAATCACTCATTTATTTTGATTTAGTTAATTTGTACAAATGATATTATAGTAATTTAATTTAATTTTAAATGAAAATAAAATAATTTTTTCTCTCTTATTAACTTTATTATCTAAGTCATTTATCTCTCCTATTAAATTTATTCTCTAACTCATTTTTCTTTCCTATTAAATTCTTTCTCTAACTTATTTATCTCTCTCCTATTAAATTTTTTCTTTAACTCATTTCTCTCTCATCTCTCATGATGTCTCCCTTCCTTCTCTGAACAAATAAAAAATTAATTAATAAAAAAAGAAATGAAATGAAGAATTTATTTTACATTAATTTTGCAAAAAAAAAAACGTAATTAATGTTGCAATAAGAATTTTTTTTTGTGTAAAGATAAAAAAGATTATAAACAAATCAATTAAACTTACGTTCTCATACTTCTAACTACTCCAATCTCTTCTTACCCAACCATTATTAATAATAATAACTTTAATTCATCATATACGTAATTAAGTATTGTAATCAATGCCTTAACTATTTTTTAAAGAAACTATAATAACTTTTGATTTTCATTGATTCAATTCATCATAATAATAATGTAACAATCTGTTATAATTTTTACACATGGAATCAATAACTAACAACGAAAATTATCTACTTACCTAAAATTGTTAACCGGAATCATATCAAAAATAGAAATATACATTTTCTCATATAATTTCATAGTAGTTTTTTAGTCAGGGTTCTTATATCACTGGTTGGCAAAACCTTAAAAAATAATATTTATTTTCTTAAAATCATAATGATAGAATAAATAGAAGAGTTTATTTTTCCAAATAAAACACTAAAATAAATTAAGAATTATATTGAACCACTATTTCCCATGTATGTTGTTAACTTTTTTTTTGGTATTATGGAATAAAATAAATTTTAACAACGCAATTAATGTTATTTTTTAAATGAGAGTAAATTACAATAGAAAATCATTTACTACTTTTATGAAAAATGTTATCAATATTTTATAAAATATTTATTAAACCACTATTTTAGAAAATAAAAAATATTAGTGATATACATTTTTAATGTTTATAATTGTTCTTTATTTGAAGAATTTTGCTATACAGCATATCCAAATAGTTTCGTTAAAAAAAGTTTGATTTGTACGATTACGATTTTTATAAATAAAGTTTCATAATTGAGTTTTATTGAGAAAAAAAATATAGTTACAAAAAAAAATTTATGAAAAATAATTAATAAAATTTTTTAACAAAAATTAATCATAAATAGAGTTAATAAATATTTTATTTCAATGAAATAATTAAAAAAAATAGTTTCATGACATCTGTATATATACTTATGAGATGTATTGAATTAGGATTTTAATATATTTTAATTTTATTATTATAATTTTTTATATATAATTAAAAAAATGTAATATAAAAGGTTATGTGGTATTTAATTAAAATATTTTTAAAAGTTCGTCAAAATTTAATAATATTCTATTAAGATAATTTGAATTTTTTAAAGAACTCGTTAAAATTTGATAATATTTAATTAAGCTTATTTATTTTAAAAAAATCTGTTGGTATTTAAAAATATAAAAATTTCAATTGATTTTTTAAATACTGAATTTTGTGAGATTCTTTAGTATAATTTATATGAAATTCACTTATCAAACAATTAGATCAAATCCTATGATATTCTATTTCTACTTTTTTAATTTTTTCTCTTAGATTTTTTCTCTCACTAATTCTCGATTCTCTCTTTTTTTCTTCTTTATTTAATTTTCTTTTTCTTTTTTTCATTCATTTATCTCTTATTCTTTTCATATTCTTTTTTTTCTCTTGTTCTCTCTCTCATTTCTTGCTTCTCTTTCTTTCTTTCTCTCTCTCTCTCTTTTCTTTATCTCTTTTTTCTTCTATTTTTATTCATTTCTCCTATTTCTCTCTTCTTCTACTTCTATATTTTTTTATTTTATCAATTATAGTATAATTTATTAATTTTTTTTACATTTTTAATTATTAAATATTTAAAATATTTTTTATATTATTAAATATTATCCATTGTTAAAATTTTAAAATTATTAAAATTTAACTACTTATTTATTTTTTTAATAAAATTTAATATTAAAATATAAAATTTTGAAATATATATTAATGAAATTTTCAATTTAAACTATGCATTTTAAAAAATGTGATTGAGAAGATATTTATTATTTTTAAATCACACTTCACAATTTTTAAATCAAGACCAATATTTTTATTTAAGACACAAATTGAATTTGTATTAGCATATAGCGCTAGATAACTATCTTTACAAAGAATATCATTATGATGAATTTCTAATTGAATTATGGATAAATTTTCATCTTCAACACTATCCGTTAATGAAGTCCATGATCTTAAACATATTGTTCATACTCAAGTACATGGAATAAAATATATCAAAACATGGAAGACTAATATAATTCTAGATATCTAAAAAAATGTTAGTTAGGAAGACATTAAAATCAATTATTTATTAAAATATAAAAACAATTATTTATGAAAAGATAAAAAAAATTATATTAATTTTACTCTTTTTTATTATTATTTATGTTACATTTTTTTATTAAATCTTGTAACATTACAAATTCATATTTTCCTATAAAATTCATAGAATCATTTAAAACCTTATAATATAAATCTATCTAATTCTAATAAATTATAATTACAAAACCTTAATTAAAATCTTAATTTTAAAAGTCTTTCAAAAAAATCTTAAAATTCATGAGATTCTTAAAAAAAATTAAATTTATTAAAATTTGCAATAATATTTTATGTTAAAATTATGTTTTAAAATTGAATAATGATTCATACTCCAAAAATACTCCGAAATATCCTCCAAAATGTTAAAATATTAGTATTTTATAATAAATTTACTATAAAATA